ATTTCTGGAACCCATGTTGAGGACATCTCCTAAGCAAGTCTTTAAATCTCTTAGGCTACACAGAATGGCTCAAAGTTGAGTTGCTTGAATTGGCTAATTTCACCGCGAAGTTGAGCTGATTTAGAAGGTGGAAAGTACTTGGTGAGGAATTTCTGAGCCAAATCATCCCAAGTTGTAATTGAGCCATACGGTAGTGACTGGAACTAAGACTTTGCTTTATCCCTTAAAGAGAAAGAGAATAGGCGAAGTCTAATTGCATCTTCAGTAACCCCATTCATCTTCATCGTGTCACAAATTTCCAAAAAGGATCCAAGATAAGCATTTGGGTCTTCTGTTGCAGCACCCCCAAACTGATTTTGCTGCACCATATGTATCAACTCTAGTTTCAATTCGAAATTATTTGCAGCAATTGCTGGGCATGCGATGCCAGAATAGTTGTCATTGACAATCGGCCTTATGTAGTCCCGAATAGCTCTTTATTGGTTATCCTCATTGGTTGCTCTAGCATCCTATTTTGCCATTGCTTCACGATCGTTTCTTTGTATGCCTCTAAGAATGCGAAATGTGCGTTCTGGTTTAGGATCAACAGGTAATAGGTCTAGATTTCTCGCCCTTCGCATAAACAATAGAAAATAACCACAAGGAAGCTCTTAAAGAGAGACACAAAAAGAATAAAGTAAAAATAAAAATTACGATAGAAATAAAAATATAACGTAAAATGAACGCCGATTGGTAATAATATCAATTGAAATCGAATGAATCAATCCCCGCCAACGGCGCCAAAAACTTGCCACGCGATTTATGCAACTTGATTTTATACCGCAAATGTACATTGTCAAGTTTTGTAATATAGTAATAGATTAAAGAGTGTCGAACCCACAGTAATTGTAATTTAAATTTCACTAAGTACTATCATTGTGCAATTTCTACTTTCTTTAGACAAATGTATGATTAAATGGATTTAATGTTTTATGAGTGAATAAATTAAACAAATCTAACGTGAATTGGATGCGACAAAATTGGGGAATACAAATTATCAAATGAGAAGGCCTAAGGACTCATTTCACCTAACTTTTAATTATGATTTAACGATTTCCAATAATTTCATTTAATTTTCCCATATTTAAAAGTAAGAATTCTAATATATTCCTCTCCCCTCTCTCAAGTGCTGGCTAGAAAATAATCCTAGATTCCAATTCTAATATCTCTATTCCGAATTGAAAATCAAGAATTTATAAAAGACCTGATTCTTTAAAGGAGTAAGCTTCATAGATTTATATCTTCTCTTGAAACCTATAAATTTCATGTTGTATAAATCTTAGATCACGCCTAAATTTTCCTTTCTCGAGCGCCAAATTTAGAGCATCAAATCATCTAATTATTGATTAGACAATCGAAAGCATTAAAATTATGATACAATTGAATATATACAAGAAAATTAAACTAAATAATTATAGAATTTCATCAAGCCATAATATAGAGTTCGGTTACATCAACCCTAGGTAATTTGTTCAGTGCATAATTAAAGACGTTAAAATCATACAAATTATAGTGTAAAACATGAAGAAGAAAGAAAATAAATTAAATGAGTAAATCGATTCTTCCCTTGTTTTCCACGCCTCTCAATTAGTTTCTGCCCTTTGACTCTTTCAAGGTTGTCCAGCCGCTCACCAAATTGATTAATTGAAGAAGTAAACCTACCAAAATTTTGAGTTCTGCCTTCCTGTTGCGTTTGGTCGGCCGAACTCCTTTCAATCCTCTTGAAGTTGTCAGCTCTTCCTCTCCAGATTTTCTCTAATTCCCATAATTTTTGGGCAGCTGACTCGCTGTTTTGCCGTCTCCAAATCCCCTGCGTGGCTTGATCCCACAGATTTTTAGTGTGCAGCTCTCCCTTAATTTAGGTCTTCAATTGTGTATTTATAGTGTCTTGGAATTTAGGGAACAACAGGTTACTAATTGGGCCGAGAAAATATTATAAAATCAGAATTTTCTTCTGTTTCGAAATGCAGCACCTGGGCATTGACTTTCTGCTTGTTTTCAGCAAGATGGGTGCCCCAACGCTCACAATGGGCACTGCGGCGCCGGTACGCCCAAAACGGCATTCTGCGCGTCATTCAGTATTTTTAACATAACTTTTTTGTTCGATATCCGATTGAAGTGATTCAAGATGAATTGGAAAGATAATTCAAAGGGCTACAACTTTACTTCAGGCATCATTCTCCAATTCGATCTTTTTTATATCAAAAATGAGTCTCAATGTGAGACCAAAACTCCGGCGCGTAACTTTTCGGTTGGAAAATGGTTTGTGATCATATTTTGACTAAATTTGATCCCTTTGACACCTTCCTTCATCCAATTGACTCCTAGAACTCTCGTATCTTAATCGCGAGTTTCGACACGACTTTTGATTAATTGCATTTTAATCCTCGAACTTTGGATCTCTTGCGTTTTGGTCATTTCATCCAATTTCGTTAACTTTTGCCTATTTCCTTCCTTTGACCTCTTTTAACTCTTGTTTTCTCCACTTCCATCAATCTACAAAACACCACCAAAATCACTTGTTAGCAATTCTAAAATACTCTCCAAGATAACAAAATCAAGAAATTAATGACATAATATAATGAGTGTAAATCACTCATCAGCATGAATGGTAGATAGGTGGATAATATTTAAGAGTCCCTCAAAATATTTTGATACAAAATTTATTTAAGAAGTTATAAATATTTTATAAACATGAAACAAAAAAAATAGACTTATAGTCTCCAAGAGACTCTATTTACAATATATCTATTTTTGAGAACTAATGCATAAAGATGAGCAAGTTACAAATGTCGACATTGTTCTTCTCAAATCGATAAAACCATATTTGAATCAATTAATCATTTGACTTCTAATAAGTATGTTAAATAATAATAATAATAATAATAATAATAATAATAATAATAATAATAATAATAATATCACATCAAGCGAGACTCAATTTAGACGATTTTAACCCTACTATAATCAAAAGATTTCAATAATGCCTTATTTTCATTTTTTAATATGTAATAAATACTTTAAAATTCTTGCATGTACGAATTTCGTGTTATTAATTCTTAATTAATTAACTTTCACGTTAATTTACACTCAATGAATCTTCATTTGATGAATTTTGATCTACATGAATTTAGAGCTATTATTGATGAATTTATTTCTATTCATATATTTAGGAATTTTCATGAATGTTTAAATTCATATATTAACAATTAATTTTTATGTACCAAATATAGTATAAAAAAGTTGCTCATTTATAGTATTTCATGATCATAAAACTTTGAAACATATAAATTGAGTTTTTGAGAGTACAATTTTTTTCTCTTAAATTTTTATCCTAAATTTTATTTTCTTTAACCCGTTTGAAACTCATCAAATACTCCCAATAAATTGATATCAAATATTATTTCTATTACTTATAAAATATTTCAGAATAACATGCAATGCTTCAACTCTAACTAATTTATTGAAAAATCAAGATAGAAAGTGTATTAAAAGTTTCACTCTCCAAATTTAAAAGTATTTAAATATCACATTAAGTGAGAATGATTTTTTTTAGATGATTTTAAATTTAGTACAATTCAATTATTTCAATAATGCCTTATTTTTCGTTTTTCAATATGTAACAAACAATTTTCGTGTTATTAATTCTCAATTAATTAACATTCACATTAATCAATACTTGATGTATCTTGTCTTGATGAATCATGATCTACATGAATTTAGAGTTATTAAAGATGAATTTATTTTTGTTCACGTATCTAAAAATTTTAATTGGTGTTTAAATTTATGTATTAACAATTCATTTTTATGTACGAAATGTAGTATAAGAATGTTTCTCATTTATAGTATTTCATCCTCATGGAAATTTTGAATCATAGAAGTTGAATATCGTGAGTACAAGTTTCTTTTCTTAAATTTTAATTTTCTTTAATTCGTTTGAGACCCATTAGATACCCCCAACAAATTGGAATCTAATATTACATTTACATCACTTATAAAATATTTGAGAATAACATACAATGCACATTCAACTTTAATTAATTTATTGAAAAATTAAAATAATGAATCAAAATAGAGGGCGTATTAAAAGTTTCACTCTCTAAATTTAAAAGATACTATTACGTAAAATAGATAGCATATTTAAATTTAAATATAAAATAGTTTATATACTTCGACAATACCCTCTATTTAAATTTTTTATTTCGTTTTCTAGAAACATTTATTGACAACTCGTCATCTTTTAGTTAACATACTTTTTATATGCCTACGACCAATTAATTTGAATATGATTTAACTAATTAAGAAGTTGAATATTGTAAAAAGTAAGAATATGGGTGAGTTTGGTTCTCTAAACTATTTCAAAAAAGTTAAGATAGAGAATTGTTTAGATCTTATTTTCAAGTGTTTACAATATGAAACAAAGGTCTTATATTTAAAGAGTTAATTGAAATTACTCTTAAGAAGTTCTTTAATTATCAATAGCGAATCTCATTGTCAATGTTCTTATATTTAAAATTTCCCTTAAAATTTTGATCACACTTTTTGTTGGCATTGGTTCTGCTAAACAAAACAATCAATTTATTTTTAGTCAAATATCTATTTACCTTTCACATGTTGACTTATTTGAGAGTTATTTTTTTATCCGATTCAGTGCGAAGGATCCATTCCCCCAAAAGTAAACATGGAATATATCCCTATTTGGTAGATTTTTTTAGAATATATTTTGTAAAAAATTTATTTTTTAAAAATGTGTGGCTAAAAAGTAGGACAAAATTATAGACTCGTGTATAAAATCAATATTTTAAGAGAATATAAGAGATTGAAGACGAGTATTGGAAAATAGGACCAAAAACTTTGGGAACTTAAAGGCTATAAAAAAGACTGGGACCTATGTGCTTTATTTCTGAATGTTTGAGGATCATATCTGCAAATTTCACCTCTTTGTCCATTTTAATGTTGCCGTCTTTAGATTCTCGTTTACACGAACAATGAATAGAACTTGGAAAATATAGGAGAAAATCTATGGAGGAGAGAGAGAAAGAGAAGGGGAAGGGGAGCGAGAGATGGACTGCAGCGATCTCGAATCTCACCGAAATGGCTTCGAATCTTGAATCCCTCCAAAAATTACTAACGACGAAAGCTGTTTACGTCGACGATGAGACCTTTGCGAGGGCCTCTCTAACCTCTGAACAAGCCCGTACCATCAAGGTAGAATAACCGCTTTGATTTTGATGCATTTGAAGTTTAATGTTTGATTGCTTTGATCCGAGTTTCTGATCGTATATTTTCGCTAACTATATTGGTCAATGGGTGCTTTAGCTGGGCATTTGTATAAATTTCACAGTTATCTTTGTTAAGCTTTATTTGATCATTTCTGTATTTGGATTACAATTTATTAAAACTAAGATTATAGGTTTATTACGCGTATCTTGGATTTATAATCCATCATTATTAGTTGAGTACAATGGACTTATTTGACTTAATTACTGAATTTTATGCCATGTTTGATTGATTCTGTTGTCTGGGTTTTGGATTTTTTTTAGCCTTGGATATAGGTCAAAGGGTGATTTAATTGCTTTTTTTTTTTTTTTTTTTTTTTTTTTTTTTTTTTTTTTTTTTTGTAGTCTGCAATAATAATTCGAGTTTAATGCACTTAATTTTCACTGAATTCTTGATTTTATGCATTGTTTGCTTGATTTTTTACGTAGGTTTTTCCTGGATTTTTCTTTGGAGCTATGGATGTTGGTTGATCTATTTTGGCATTGCTTTCTAGTTGATTATTTTATTGAGTATAATTTCGTGCAATGCTTGATTAAATTCAATATTGGGATAGTGGTTAAACTTGTATTTGTTTGTTGTTTGATTAGATAGACATCTTCTTCGTTTCTTGAACTATGTCAATTAAGCATGATTTATTTGTGCAGGAAATGTCCTGGAGTCTTTGATTTTGTTGATATTGATTGATTTGACCATTCAATTTTCTTGAAGTGCTGCATTTTTAGTGGATATGGTTGATATTACTTGTGCAAAGCTGAGTAAAATCATAGTTTCCTTTGCTTGAGTTCTGTGGTAATTCGAAAATAATGCATAAAGGAGTCTTGCACATGTAGCGTAGGAAAGGAGTGGAGTGTATATGGATGGCGAATGATCTGTTTGATAATCCGAGTAAGTTTTTTATGTGGTTCTAACGATTTAATAACTTTCTTTTTAGCTACATGTTGTTTCAGTTTATGCTCCAAGTATTGTGCAATCAATAAAATAATAAAATAATGCTATCATCATTAATCAGATTGGATTTAACTGAGTATTGGGAGCTGGTGTCAGCTAGGGTTTGATTGCTTTGTTCATTTAACGGTTACTAGGTTGAGAAGTGGATATCCTAAATGTTTGTTCGTTATTCATTTTGATGTGGAGTTCATAGCGATTTCTATAAGAATAATATTTTTGAGTAGATGCAAGGATATAAGCCTCTATAGCTTCAAAATGTGAAAGTAAGGCTTCATATGTAATTTGTTGAATGGAGACATGGAGCATATTCTTAAATTATCAGAGCTTATTCCACGAATTCGTATTGATTGGATGGAAAATCCTTCAAGGGTCACTAATCTCGACATCATTAAAAGCCACTTAATCCTTGTTAATTATATCATCTTAGGAACATTTACTTTTGAAGGGTTACAAATATGAAATATATTTCTACATTTTCATAACTATCAAAATTTATTTTAGGTTGGAATACCTTATTCTATGAATACTTTCATCTTTGGTTTATTGTATTTACAATCTAAAAAATGGATAGAATAATACTAGAGGGAAAATACAAAGTCCTGGAGTCAGAGACAAGGCTTAGCTTATTGTTGTGCATATTTTTGTGCTTAACTGCATATTAAGATTGTCTTATTGGGATTGACTCCATTTTTCAATTTTAATCCTGAAGAATCTTGCTGAGAATTACCATATCCTTCAACTGTGCTGTTCGTACTGCATATTATTACCTATTCGGAATGGGTAGAGAAACAGCAGAAAAAACCTGATGAATCATGTTGAAATTCATCGTACAGTGTGCATTTGCTTTTCATATTACAGTGTGTGAAGTGTTCAAAGTAATGATAGAGTATCAAAGGACTGGCTAAACTAAATTTCATGTCACTGCAGGTTCTTGAACAAAGAGTAGAGACTTTAGAAAGAGAACTAGACTCTGCCATTTCAGCTGCTGCTCATGCACGTACTGAAAAACGTCAAGCTGAGGCAGCAAAGAAGGCTTCCGAATTACGCGCCCAAGAGATCACAAGAGAGCTTGAAAACACTACGAGTATGTGTACTTTGTCTCCTATCCCGTAAGGCTACCAGTTAATAATACCGCATGTTACTACATCTACCGAATATGATGCTTATGCCCAGTACTTCCAGCTTATGTCATGGAAAGCATTGGCACCTGAACGCTAATTCATTCGTGTTAAAGTTATCGTTATCCATAATAAGGTCATTGAACTAATAAAAATAGGGATGTTAACCCCCAACAGCCAAGGGTTGATATTCCAAGATTTTATGTTAATAAGTTCTGCGATTGAAATGCCTGCAAATTAAGACTTAATGTGATCTTTATTGGCATTGGTTTTATTATTAAATTAAAACATAAAAAAGAATCTATCATGTGATGTGCCTAGGAGGTTTATTAGTATAAGGTGAAATTTTAGAGAAATTGACATATATCTTATCTGCAGATGTGTCATATATAACTAAAATTTTAACTTATTATCTAGGAAATATATGGTTTAAATATAGCCTTTATCCAATTTATAAGAAGCTTATCCTTCTTTGGATTCATCATGTTCATATGCTCGGTTCCACAATCCTACTTCCTGTGTGATTCATGATCTGACTAGCACAAAGGCTTAAGTTGCTTGAAACATCTTTATATCTGAGTCTTGTGGATTGGAGGATTTATACACCTTTTTTTATCAGTTTCTTCTGTAGTTTCCACAACGTATACTGTTAAGAGTAGTATAAGATCTCCAGTGGACGTTCACTGTATGTCGAACCACTTGACCTAAAAAGTTAAGCTATTAGATAGGGCCCCATTTATATAATTTAAATATTTATCTTCAACACTGCAAGCCCATTCTTTCTTGTTACGACTGTATTACATGATCATAAATCTTTCATAATGTTCTATTTAGCTTGCATGTGGTGTTAGAGCTTCCACACACACACACACACTTGTTTTTCTTGTTTAAGCTGCTAGGTTCAAAACCATGCTTGGATCATCATTTTAAATCTGGATTTAATGCTTTAGCATGTTTTGTCAGTAATATTTGACATGCATGCTACTAAATGCAGATATCCGGTTTTAATCTCCAGACCTTGGTAGATAACTAATGCGAACTGGCCAGTGAGCTTTTAGCTTTGTAAATATTTGAATGTAGGAGAACCTATTAACAAAAGAAGATTGCTTGACTGCTGTATACCATAGTTCATAGAATTTTGTAGTTTATCCTATTATTTTAGCTATGATTTAAGAGCATAAACAATTTCCCTGTGAACTCGAACACAAATATTTCATTTGAAAAAGTTTCATAAGTTGAGATGAATATTAGCCACCAAAGTGACCAGTTTATTACAACTTATAGACTTCTCTCAAAAGTTAGATATATAATCAAGCTTTATAATTTTTTCTATAAAATTCTGCCCAAAGGGGATATTGACCTTTTATTTGGTAGATTGGTTTTTTCTTGTGAGATACTAAAACCCTGTTTCTCACATATGAACATGCGTTAATTACTAGAAAAATATGCTTACATTAAATTCATTAGTCATTTCCACAACTCTCACTTGAAAGCAGAAGGTTTCTAGCCTTCAATCCCGTCAAACAGTGTTGTATGATGGGTTAAATGATCCTACTCAGCTCCTATATTTGAAGGTCAAGAATAACTTGATTTCAGATAGCAGAGCAGGCTTTAAGCATCTGGAGAGGGATTATAGCCCTTTCCAAATTGAGTTTTGGCCATAGTTATTGAAACCGGTCTGGACAGTCAAGTTCGGCCCGTGAACCGTATATTGGTCGTATCTGGGTGCATTAATTGTTCAAGTCAGCAAAGGAACCGGTCAAGAACCAGCTATACCATTCAATAACAGTCCGGTTCGGACGGGTTTAAGGGGAAACTGGAATAGGTTGGTTACCAAAGTGCTGCAGTGCTAAATTTTATGTTTAATTTGAAATGGCAGAGATTCGAACGTGGGCTTTCAGCATGAAATATCACTTCCTCGACCATTTTAGCAACTGCAAACCTTTGTAATAAATGTGAGCGAATTCGATTTAGCAAAATGGTTGTTACTTTGTTTTTTAAAATTACAATCTAGCAATGACCCACCGGTTGAAATATTCACTCGGTGACCCGATGATTTTTTCGGGTTGATAATCGGGTTGGGTTTGCTAAATATGGTTTTAGCCTATCCATCAGAGTGCCTAATTATATTGTGTTCCTATTTATTTCACAAATGACAATGGGTTATACGTCATCTTTTCTGGTTGGGTCTTACTAATGGTAGTCCAAATTCCAAAAAAGGGCACTTTATCTGATATGGATTGTCATTTGGCAAACATAGGTGCTTTCCTTGTACTCACAGAAAATTGAACCAGACTTTTAACTGAAGTTCTTGGGCATACCCTCCTGCATTACTCGATCATCATTATTCTAGCCTGGTTAACTGAAATCGGTGAAATCTATTTGGCTTAATGTTTGTTTATAAATCCACCTGCTCCTAGGCGCCAATTAAGGAAAGAGGCATGTCCTATGATTAATAGTCAGCATAATGGAATGTAATGGCTGGATGAGGGGCACAATTCTTGTACCGCACGCCAACTAATTGTCAGTCTAAGTTGAAAATTTATAGTTGATAGCCATATGAATTCAATATTGCCAAAGTAATACTGTAGAGCCTTGCAGAGACCCCGTGCCTACCGTGTATGTTAAAGAACTAAACTTAGCAGTTGCTGTAACTCTGCTGAAGTTTTTCCTCTTATTTATCGAGTAATGTATTGCTTGTGACTTGCAGAAGTATTCGAACTGCACATGGAAGAGTTACGTGCAAAGCAAGATGAAATTTCCAAGCGTGATAAAGAAATCAAACTTCTTGAAGCTATAATTCAGACAATTGGTGGCAAAGAGTCAATTTCTACAAAGAGCTAAGTCCCTGTTTTTGTGAATTCTACATTATCATGTTTATTCCCTCAAAAATTAAACACGAACTTGTGTATATTTTGTAATTCCACATAATGATCATATCAAAAACTTTCGAGGAATTGATACATCCTCAAAATAAATTCATCTATGTTAGTTAACTTAAACCCCACCCCCTTCGTTCATGGTAGCAGATTCTTTGGTACGTAGTCTTCCTCGCTATTTTCTCGATCATTTATAGCATGTTTGGTAACATATTATTGCAGATTGTTATAGTATATTTTCACTTTATATCATGTCAATTTTTGATTTATTACTTTTGATTTTTATTTTTTCCAGTCTAATTCCTCTTTATTGCAATGTATAAATACAGTGAAATGAATATCGATAGATGAAAATCGGAATTTCATCATTGATTCTCCGAAATCACTGACTGGCCTAATTTGCTGTAGTAGAAATTTTGAGTTTGGCCTGATTATGGGGTAATTTCTTACACAAAACAGTTGAAGAACTGCAACCTTCCAAAGTAAATGGTTCCTCGGTTTAATATGTAACATTAAAATTTGTATTTTTAGAGGAAATTAGGCCGTACATGATTTTTGTTTTCAAAAATTGAAATCTTGAAATCAAATTATTTTCCAAGATATCTCCCACCCTGAATCCCGACCCACTTTTTGGGAATTTTCTCCTTTTTGTTAAGATCGATTGGCGACGGAGAGTTTGTTTCCTTCTTGATTTGTGGTGGTTGAAGTGAGGGTGGTTTTAGTGATGGTGTATGGTGATGAAACTCGGCCGGTGGGGCGGCAGATCTCAAATGGTAGTGTCACTACTACGTAAAGAAGTGTACAATTAGCTACAATCCTACTTGTAATGGGCGGTTCGGCATGTTTCAAAAGCCATTCAATGGTCTCTTTTTATTTATTTATTTATTTTAACGGATTTATGACATAATTCTCTAGTCACCTGAAAAATCCTATCTGCATATAACGCTGATGAGTTTGTGGTGGTGGTGCATATCTGGTGTGGTTTTGTGGTGTAAATATGGTGCCGATGGCGGCGTGGCATGGCGACAATGGTGGATATAGGTGGCAACTAGTGACAACTAGTGGGAACTTCGAAAGTTACAATTTAAAAGAATTACACATATTCTAATAATGATAACACAAATGCGCCCAGTTGGCTCTCTTTATTTTACATTATAGCCTCTATTTGGTTCACATTCTCTCCTCATTAAAATGAAAAATATGATCGTTATCTATCACATCAAGTCACCAAATTTGAATTTTTATTTCTAGTGTGGAGCTCGTAACGGTTATATTTTTCATTTTCATTCTTCATAAAATGAGAAACAAACGGGAGCATAATGAGTGGAATAATGATTTTTTGGATAACTAGTCAAAGTTGAACGTGCATTGGATGTTATTTTAAAATACTTTATAAATGATGTAAAAGAAATATTTGATACCAATTTATTTGAGAATTTGATGAATCTCGGACGTTTAAAGACGATAAAATTTATCATAGAAATTTAAGAAAAGAAATTTGTATATAAATTATACTTTCAAAACTTAATTTATATTATTCAAATTTTTTGTAATGATGAAATATTTGAGCAATCTTTTTATATTACATTTGATACATTACATATATTTAAACACCTATTAAAATTTTTTGAATCATGAATATAAATAAATTCATCGACAATAACTCTAAATTCATATAATTTAAGATTCATCAAGTGAAAATTCATTAAATCTAGATTAATGTGAATGTTAATTAATTGAGAATTAATATCACAAATTTTATAAATGACAATAATTTTGTAGTATTTATTACATATCGAAAAATGAAAAGTAAGGTATTATTGAAATAATTGAATCTAGTAGAGTTAAAATCGTCCAAAAAATGATTTTCCTTTGATGTGATATTTTAATATATTATAGATGAGCGATTATAAAAAAGGAAATTTTTTTAGTTTACTTGTTATATTATTTTATTGGAGAATGTGTGATCGATAAGAAAATAGTAAAAAAAAATTATAATTTAATTGGAAATAATGGAAGCCAAATGAGGACATAATGTAAATTACAATTTGAAAGAAACTATATACATCGTAACAAGTTACGATTTAAATGTAAAGTAACGTCGTAAGTTATAATCATTGTAATTTATTAAATGTAGGGATTCTTTATGAACATGTCAAAAATTATAGAAAATCCATAAGGTAAATAAATTTACATTCGCATAAAAAAAAATTACTTACATTGTAATTTTTTTTTAAAATATAAAAGATTTTAAGATACAGCTGACTTTTGAAATTATAATAAATCCATATGATTTTTCAACTTTGGTGCTCGACATATTGTCTAGTCGGTTAATTAATCCATATTTTTATCTAAATTAAAAAAAATTTATAAAATAGAGAAGAAAAGAGAAAAAAATAATAATAAGAAAGTAAAATTGAGTTAAAACGTGCTTCTCCCCTGTTTGTCCGCATTATGAGCCTGTTTGGGAGTATTTTTTCCTTAAAAAATTGATTTTTTTTATCGTTATTTCACTATTCCAACTATCATATTTGATTTCTTCTTTTACAGGTGGATCTTACTTTTCTTTTAATGGTCAAAAAATTAATTCTCAAAATCACTCTCAAACAGGCTCTATGATATTTTTTTTTAAAATTTTTTTTATCAATTTATGACATTCAAATTTTTAATTATACATGCAACTAATTTTTATCAAAACTTAAAAAAAAAAATTATTTTATCATGAACTAGCTTACGTTTGTGCCCTATTTAGGTCGCTAAACTTGGCATAGGTTTGTTTTTAATTTTTCAAAAATTCATTTTTAATTACATATTCTCCCGTACATTAATTTCATACGTAAAATATATATATTTTTAATTTTTTAACTACACATTATTTAAAAACTCACTATTTGAAAATATATTTTTCATAAAAAAAAAAAAAAGGAATCAAGGAGTTAATGTCCTTGCGGAATTTGAATTTAATTTCTTACATATTGGTCCCTATATCTTTAAAAATTAAAAAATAAACGAAATACAAAACTCGTAATCATCCATACTCGTGGCACTGACCCTGACCGCCACCATCTCTTACCAAAACAAATCCATTAATTCTTCAAATAAAAAAGGAAAAACACACACAGAAGCAAAGGCAAATCAGAAAATGGAAGGAGGGATGTCGCGAACCAACCTTAAGCGCCCCTTTGTTGAAGACCCCGAGTCCAACAAACCCCCTTCGTAACTCTCTCTCTCTCTCTCTAGGTTTTTATGTGTTTGTCGAATCATTTACAATTTTTAATCCTAATTTTTGACTATTTGGCTTGTTGAGTAATATTGATTCTTGAAAAACGTAGTTAGGGTTTGTACATACACCTGTATATGTGTAGGAATACAGTATATTGGTGGTAATGTTTCTAATTAAACAAATACATTCGGTATAAAAGGGAATTAGAGAATAAACATGGTTTTGTTTTTTACTTTTAAATTTTGCTGAAATTATTGGGTTCATTTTCTCCATGTGATTATTGTAGCAAGTCAAAATATAAGTACATTAGGTACTCAAAAGGTATATGTATAAGCAAAATTAAGTATTTGCGAATGGATATGTACTTTGTTTTGCATTGAATTCTCAATGAAGCGATTCCACTTGTGTGTTGTTAGTTTGGCTTATGTAGTTTGTGTCTCTTCAATTATACATTCAGGGAAAAGAGGGTGAGGTTTCCGAAAGGGAAGAAGGTGAAGTCGGGAGATTATGTATTTGAGGATTCACCTAGTAAAGATGTTCCTAACTGGAGTGACCCACGGCTTGCTGCCAAAGAGCGTACGATACGGCGGAATGAGATTGCAGAGGAACTTCTTGATGATGAAAACAGAGATTTCCTCCCTGACATAAAGAAAGCCGAAGTCCATTATACGGTATGATAAGTTCTATTTTTTAGAAATTTGTAGGGCTGCTTATGGATGTCTTGTATTAATTTCTTATTAATAGTATACCCAAAATGACCCATACGGATGTCTATTTCGTTCTTTCTTTCTCTCTCTCTAAATAAATAAATATAAATATAAATATAAAGGGAGACACTTGAGCAAATCCCTATGAAGGTGTTGCATTTGAGTTGTGTGCATAAATTTATTCTTAGCATAGTACCTTCAGTCCATGGATGAGATCGAACAAGTGTTTTATTTGATGCATTCTTCAAAAAAGTGGAGTTGGTTCATTCTCATAAAAAAAAAAAAAAATCAAAGCTTTGCAATATCCACAGGCTTCTCTCCCCCAAGTTTTTCGATGAAGGTTGATCCATTTTTTCTCAAAATATGAGTGGTAGTTTATTCCCGATCTCACCAACTTGTGATGGATGCTTTTATTGTGCTGGGATCAGTTACTTACAAAAGAACAAAGAATAGAAGTTTTTCCCTTGAATAAATTTGCCAGTATTTTGGAGCGGATCCTGGATCTACTTATTAAAACCTCCAGTAAAATTTTAAATTATTTGTCTTTATTAAATGGACTTTGTGAGCTGAACATATATAATAGGCCTGTCTGGGTTGTAGAATCTCTATTACAAAACACTCCAATTGAATTGTTTTGTTGTGGGCAATTTTTTTTGATTGGTTGCTTGCAACCTCAGTGTTAACCGTTAGAATGTGTTTCAGCCTCGACTTTTAGGAAGTACCATCATATCGGTACATGTAGCTCAGATTAATGTATTTTCTGTTTTATGTGATTTTGAACATCTTTTGGTAGCTGATTAAGTTTCTTACGACTCTTATTTGTCTGGCTTTTTGGCATTTGTTTGGGGTGGGAAGGGAACTGTATGAAAGTATAAACACTTCCCACTTTTAGTGTGATTATGATTTTCTTACTAGATTGATCATAGAAACACACAGAATGATAGGGGGTTACTTTTGGCAGGATAATGAAACATTTGTTGAGGAGGGCGTCCAGATAGATCCTTTTAATCTGGATAAAGAAAGAGAAGAAGGATACTTTGATGCTAATGGAAATTACGTCGAGTACGTGAATGAAAATCAGATCAAGGTAGCGAATTTAAATTACAATGTGATGATTTAGCAAATCCAAGATTCTTATGTAAAGTTTTGCAGGATGCGTGGCTTGATAGTGTTGATGTCTATGAAAAGTATACTGAGAAAAGTTCTATTCCAACTACTAATGATGAAGAATCTCGTGACCTTACCTCCGAAGAACTTGCAAAAATAAAGAGGCGGATTGCTAATGTTCTCGAGCCTGGAGAAACGGTAATCTTTCAATATGATTGTCGCTGCTTATCATGAACGTCATTCTTTTTTCTCCTTATTATTATTATTATTATTTTTTGTCTGCTTAGGTTGTCCTTTGATCCTTAATCTTTATTTTCTCTCTTTGATCGACTGCTTCTTCAGTTTTCACTTCAATATGAAAAAGTTGTAGTTAGTAGCTTCCTTAGAATTATTTTGTATAATTTTCATGGCTTACCTTTTGAGATCATATTATTTTGTATCCTTTGCATTTTTCTTTTGCAATATAATCCTTTAACTTATCTGTATAACATAAATATGAGGATTAAAATTCATAACCAATATGATTGCTGATCCAAGGTACATAGGTTTGTAAAGCAATGTTCACACCAAGTACGGTAATGACATAACATTTAGAATTCCCCCACCGTCCCATCCCCCTGGAGGGGGCAAGCTAGTTCCAGAGGTTAATTATTGAAAAATTCATCACTTATCACACAGAAATGGTAAATTAACATATTTTAATGGCTAATATGTTCTGATCTGAAACTGCTGCATTTTTCCAGTACTATGTTGCAATTGAATTGTGTGAATATTTTTTGAGTCTCCCTCATAAGCCGTTATTCTTTTGCAAGGTTTTGCAAGCTTTAAGGAGATTGAAAGGAACCTCAGGTAACAAGAAGCAGAAGATGTCCGCAGAAACTAAACTGCTGTTTGATCAGCTAACTGACGATGCTATGAAACTGATGGAGAGTGGGGATTACGGTTGAGTGTCTCCTTCAATATTTGAGATAATCTAGCTGAAACATAGATCCTGATCTGTTACAATAATCCTTTTTTTGACAATATATATTTGTTTTGCAGATGTGTATGATGAAAAACAAGAAAGTTTCCAGCGTGAAGCAGGTCTATCTTACAGCTGTTTTTCCATCTTTTCTTCAATAAGTTCCTCTTCGTGTTTATCTTTCAACATGGTGCTTCTTATCCTTCTCGTATATTTTTTCATTCTAGTCTTCATAATCTACATCATTTTTATTACTCTTAGAAAGGGTTTGGGGTATAGGTTTTCCTTTTTGGAGCTTTATTTCTTTGAGTCTATCTCAAAAAATGAGAAGGACAAATATTAATGTCAAACAGTCGAAGTATCTTAATTCACTCTGCATTTCAAATTGGATGGCATCCTTTCTCTTGTAGGATATTTCAAGCTTGTGGAAACACAAAAATGGGAAGACGTTTTAATTCGTTTTTCTAGATTAGCTATAAATGAAGTTCACAACAGTGAAAACTTAAGAAGTTTTAATCATTTTTCTAGATTAGCTATTAATGAAGTTCACAACGGTGGAAACTTTCATAGGTAAAAGTGAAAAGATGTCAAGAGTCTTCTTCCCTTCTGAAAATGTGATGCACAAGTCAAATAGGATATTTAGATTGAGGAGGTTCCCAAACAATTTAATATCTTTTGATTTTTCATAGAGGCTACTCTATAGCTTTCCAAATCTGTCAGCGGTTTATATAAGCTTTGGCTCCTCCTGATTGTTTATTTTATTGATCTTTAGAGGGTTATGAAAAGTTAGCTCAGGCAAGGATGCAGGGTACCTCCATGAGTTCTCGACAGGAAGTGTCTTATGATATTTTTAATGAAGACGCAGTTCCAAATGGGGCTGACATGATTAGGCCATCTTTTATGCCATCTAATGTCGACACGGGTGCTTCAAAGTTTAGCATTTCTACCACCACAGATGATGGTGATGATGCTTTTGACATGTTCGCGGAAGATGATGTAAATACTTCTGTAAATCCAGCCCTTGATGGGAGTGAATCTGTTTCTGTTCAGCCTTCTGAAGGTAAGCACTACACTAGCATTTGAAGCTCTAAATTTGGAATTTAGCTACGTCATATAACTTGCAACATATTGGTAATGCAGGTGGAGATCTGCAGAATGATTATGTATATGACGAGTCTTCTGGGTACATGTCTTCACCTTTTAACCATTTTGGCAAGGCATACACGATCGCTTTAGAGCATCTCTAAGAGACTTTATTTAAAGAGCATCTTATATGTGATAGTGTACACCTTTAAATGCACAGAGTAAATTCTTTTAAACACTCCAACAATGTTTTTTATTTTGGCTTTTTATTTTACTTTTTCAATAAACCTTTATTGGATTTCGCTCATTTTTAGATGTCAATGGCCAATCAATTCAAATATGGTTTGAATAATTTGAGAAAATAGAGTATTGAAATCTATAACTTATTAAATGCAATTATTATAAAGTAAGAGAACCACTTTCTATTTTTAAAAGTTAAAATGGAGCCTCTTGGAGCTTATTTTTACGTATTTACTCTCTAAATTAGAGGGCATCTTGCATCTAGAGATTCTTGGATATGCTCTTATGCCAATTTTGTTGCTTCCTGAATAAGAAGAATTAAAGTTACTACTCCCACTGTTTCTACTAGTGTTCCTTCTGTAGGAATAAGATATTTTCTTTTTCAACCCTTAGAGACCATTTAACAAAAATAGTACATGTTTGTTACCGGACAATAGATACTCATTATTGCACATATTTTTTAACATGATTTGCCATTACTACCACTAAAGAAATTTAGATATGTTCGGTTTGATCAAACCGTAAGAGAGATCACAAGGCACTTACATTTCTTATATGTATTATTGTTTGATTCTATTGTTGTATAATTGCAGAAAATAAAAACCTCCCTACCAGATTTCCAATACCTCATTCGGAATTTTGGCTTTATGGAGAGTGAAAAATTGGCATGATTTTTTCTTCACTATACTCAATAATCTAATATCTGCTTACACTTTGTATGTCAGTTACTACTATAGCAGCAGTTTGGGTTACTACTATGACCCTTCTTCGGGGCTATATTGCAGTGCAGCATCAGGACAGTGGTAACAAAACATTCCCGTAAAACTTATCTTTATCCACACGACGCATTTAACTGTTTTAGAAGGGCCTTATGTTTGAACAGTTGTGGTTTTTGTACTACATATTTTATCCAATAGTATCTAACTGAAATAAAAAATCGGGAAAAGCAAAACTTTAGTTCTAATGCAATCAAGTGAGCTAGCTGTTTGTGCGAGTAAGGTGATCTCTTTAGATGCTTATCTATTTTTTGACATCCTTTAATGTATTGCTTGTGTATATGACACTATTGTGTATCTTGATTGTCATGGTTTACTGTGCAAACCTAGAAAGAATAAACATTGTATATCTAAGGGCTTTGCTCTCCTGAAGCATAAAACATCCATGCACCTTTGCCCACTGTGTTGTGATTCTGTGTTTTCTTTTCTTGTCTGTCTCTGTCTGGTCTTTTTAGTAATGAGTAGGCGCAACTGTTCTTTTTATTGATAAATCTGATTTTAATGGATGCACCAAAAGTTTGCTCATGTGTGGAAAAGATTGAAATACTTGTATTGATAAGAAGCTGAGGGTGTGTAAGATGGTATGGTTTTTCGATATCGTCAGCATCTCACCTGTTTTATCTCTTTACGAGTTCACCATTTGATAAAGAGATTTAGCAAGTGCCAGCTCCTGGTTCACCTTAAAAAGGATGTGTTTGTTTGGAATTTTTGTTAAGTTTTGCTTGTAGAGCATTTGTTACCAAAGTTCTTATATAGCCCCCGTTTGGCTCCCATTCTCCTTCTCATTCTTTTTCTCTCTCTTATTTCAACTACACAATCTTCCATAAAATAATATTACATGCAAATAAAACTTTTCATTCTTTTTCAACAATACATTTTTCAAAAAACACTATTCCAACCATTAAAATTTGGCAAGAATGAGGGCCAAACAGTTTCCAGTTTTACAAACTAACAGTCATTTTTATTGTCCTGGATGATGATACACCTTTTCCTGAACAGTCAAACACCCGATATAGATTTAACTGGAAAATATCAGATTTCTTTGCACTTATAATATTTGTTCAATGCGTGCTGCATTAATGTATAGTTTTTCAGTGAGTTCGTCTGCTTTGAAATGTGATTTTGATCTTGTATATGTTTGTGTTAAGCTATAACTGTGTTTCTCTACAATCTGTCAATGGTTTGGCTGAGTTGTGATTGGCAAGTGGAATTGATAGAATATGGAAAAATGATCTCATATCTGAATATGAATTTCATAGCTATTTGTATTGTGCTTGGATCTCTAGTGGCATGACTTGCAGGTGAAAGTTTTAGTCTGAAATTTACTTGGAACGAGTTTGCTATTTGAATTCAGAGAAAATATAACGCCATTCTTGTTTTTTTACTCCCATCCTCCCCATCTGGGGTCAGATAGAATGGCAATTGCCAAGTTACATGAATGTGCTGATTAGCTTTGTGCCCCACAGGCCGCATTGGGAAACACTTGTGTGGTGGCAGATTAAAAGTACGTTTGTTGGGATGAGTAGTGTATTTCTGATTGCTGCACATATTTGTTTTTCGTGTAGGTACTCTTATAATGAAGAGTCGGGGAGCTATGATGAGGTTCAACAAACTGCGTCCAGCTTGAGCTGAGGAAAACAGCCTCCTTTGTTAAGGGATACTGTATGATACAAAAAACACAGCAGCGTGTTTCTTCCTATGGATTCCCTATTTCCTTTACATGTCTTCAGAGTGTAAATTTTCGATTAATTATCTATGTTCGGGTTGGTTTTTTCCTCACGGTCGTCTTGGGATTAATCGGAATTGGCACTGTGCTGTGTCCATGCACTATTGTACATCTATTGTGGTATCATAGAAACTCAGCAGTAAACTAAACCTTGCAGAAATTGTTTGCAGTCCCACCCCCACCACCAAACACAATAAAGTAACGGGACCATGCAAATAGAAAGCTAAAATACTATGGTTCAATTTGATGTCCAGTATGTTACAATTGCTGAATTTCCAGAAAGTTGTGTTTCTGTTTTTTGAGAAGTTGTCAACCGATACCTGATCAAAGCTTCGTTGAAACGAATGTTCCTGCGATCGACGGAGCAAGCTAAATTTTGATTATGCTGTATTTAACGAGTTCTGTGCTTGCACTTATATTTAAAAATTTTGTCAAATAATCTTTTTGACAATCTGCCAGAAATGAATTTCAAATAATTAAAGTTACAGCTTGACATAGAGAGATATGATCTTGGCAACGCGATGGGTTATTAACACTTGGGGCGTTAAGGTTTTTGACAGAAGCGATGGGCCTAAGTTCGAGATTGAGATGGTAATTTTGTACGAGGACAATTGGTTTGGATGAACTGAAAACTGAAACCAGATCAAGAACCATCGTTGATTGCAGCATTTCTGCCCATTTCATTTGACATGGACTTAAGAGTTCTTTGATGTATTTATTTTAGATAAGAAATTGACAAAAAAGCGTGGACGAACTGATCTTCAAGATTAAATATAAATTGATATTTGATTAACGGAAAAAAATATATATACCCCAATACAAAAAACTATTTCGCACTTTACTGTGTGGTGGTAATGTTATAAAAAAAATACTACTTGTAATGTTAATTATCTTTGAAAGCGCTATCTTCCCAATTTATAACAAAACCCACATTTTGTAACTGGTGTAATTTGTATTCAGTTACATTTACGCTTTCCATTAATTGAATTCAAATTCAGACATTAATTCAAAAAAAAAAAAAAAATGTATGGGGAGATAAATACTTCGATCAAGAAGCATCTCTTTGGAGACATTGGTCTTCTACACGTATATTATATTTTTTCATTGAGGGCACATAAGGGTGTTCAAAATGGATGGTCCCCCTATTGGAGGGGGGCCTGTATTTTGGACACACGGGCCCCCTATTGAAGGGGGGTTCAATATTATGTACCCATAGAATAATTCTTCCATTGATGTCAAGAAACTTTTGTACATCATGCTCTTGGTAATAAAACAATATAATATGTTCATCATTTTACAGACATTTTGAATAAACTTTTCATTTTATTTGAACCACAAGTATGGATGGGGTTTCGATTTTTGTAAAGTATGGTGGATGGTGGGATGAAAATGATATGTACATTTACAATGAGATGACAGGGGTGTTGGTTCCTCTTGGAGCGTCTGTCACAACACAATACGTATGAATTTGGAAGCTCACCCATCGAAATATCACATGATTGTGGTGTTTTCTTTTACTTGAATTTGAAAGATAGAGATGAGATGCCTAGCTAAATAGCTTTCTCGTTTATCTTGAGATTAAAAATGAGCCGATGGTGGAGATTTTACCACTAGCTTTATAGAATAATAATCACTTATTACATGCCAAAAATTCAAAGTCCACCTCTTGAGGTCAACTCTGATCCACAATTAAATGATCAACTGCCTTGTAATATGTCACTCGAGATTACAATCGGTGATGTTGCTTTTGATATTAAGGTTGAAAGTGATAATGTCTTAGAACATTGGTAGTATATAATACATTGCAACATTGTATGTTCGGAATTGTCAATCAAGAACATCATGTTCGACTAAGATAGTGTCACTCTGTAGCATCATTGCCCTATTTGCTAAAAATATGTAATTGTAAAAGAGTGCACATACCAAAGACTGGACATAAAAGTATTGAATATGAAGAGCATTGAAAGATTAATCGAAATCTTCCATACAAATATTAGTCGCAACAGTATCCTGTAAAATGTGATTGCATCATTGCTCATCCTGAATTGCCAAAGAAAACATTAGAATTTACAAAAGTTAGCTTCACTCGATGACATGATTATATATTCATTGCAGTGTCTTCCAAAAAAAAAATTGATATTGCATACTAGTTAGCATACCAAAACATTGAACATAAAGTATCGACTTTAGAAACTAATCAAAATCTGAGATGCAAAAATAATCCACACCAATATCCTGTCATTATCTAACTTCATTCTGCAACATCTATTCAATCACTACACCTTTCAACCTCCAATCCCACATCACGCTACGAGGTACAAGGTTAGTGATGGAGGAGGGCTTGTATCAGCATCGATATTGGTGGTTTGTACTGTGTTGTGCTTCCTCTTTTTGGAGCACAAATTGGAATTGCTTTTGTGTGTTGTCATAATCCATGTGAATCTTGAAGCCCACTTCTTATTACATAAGGTAATTACAGTTTGAGTGCAAATGATTTCTGGAAAAATGTTATGAAATAGTTTCACGGTCAGCCTTTGATAAGGATTTGGGATTTTTTGAGAGTTTGATGGGAGAAGATTTGATTTGGAACGTGAAAAGGCACAATTTTAGGGATTATGTTTTTGGTTAATCGTGATATAGGGCGTGTTTGGAGGGAGTAATATTAGCTACCATAATTATCGCCTTGTACAATTTAGATGGATTTTTATGTTTTTGTTTTTACTATAATTTTATAGTATTTATGGGGAAAAAATGTTGCCAAGTATTCTTCGAAAATTAATAAAATAACAGTTATGTGGTGTGATTTTCACTTTCATTAATGTTAGTGGGCCATTTTTGAACTTGGACAAATGCCATAAAAGATGCTCAATTCTTCCATCACTATGACAAATTACAATTTATCTAAACCCAAAAATTGGGATCTTGCAAGAAAGCATTTCATTTGATTAGAAGTAGAATTTTAGAGTCAGTTGATTTATTGTAGATTACTTAAAATAATAATAATAATTTACAAGAAACAAAAATCCTATGAAATGGGCTTAAAGTATCTATGCACGTTTCTATACGTATATAATTACATTTTGTGTGCTTTGTTCACATCAATTTTGAACTTTCATTTAGATGAATTCATTTTAGAAAGACTTCTGAATATGAAAAATTAATGATGTAGTAGCCTATATTTGAAGAGTAATATTATTTATAGTCGCTCATTAAGGTAATTGTTCTATATAACTGTTGGCACACTAAAAGTGCAGCCCAAATCGAATAGCCCAAAGAATGAAACCCAATTGGGCAATTCAGGATAAAGACTCAGACAGGGTTATTAATGAATGCAGTGGAAGCCCACGAACACAGTAACATCATCGCCCAAACTTGCAAGACGCCCAAGATCTGAGCGAATGGAGTGTTTTACAGTTGCCCAGAGCGATGACCCTGTTCTTGCCCATACCTTCGAATCGTCCAGGATCTTGGCAAACATAAAATGTTATGGTTATCCAGAAATGCAGTTATTGAAGCAGTTATTGAGTAACCTTATCACATTTCACGATTCAAGGAACCCAGTTGAAGGCGGTTGAACGATAAAGAGTAGTGGCAGCAGTTAGAGACGGCAATTCCACGACAAGTTAGCCACCATAAAGAAAGTGGATAATTATAAAGCAATCAAGCAATTTCCAAGCGGTTTGTCATGAAAAAATCATCAAGGGAATATAAAAGGAAGAGATGACATAGAGAGAAAGGACTCCCGAATCAAATACTCTCAAACAGAGAATATATAATTTCAATTTCTTAGTTTAAATTTAAACATTTCTTTCAGTACTCATGTGTTTGCGCCCCTTGGAGGCATTCTGTTTAGTTCCAATTGTAAATCATCGCCAATAAAACACCCTTTTTTGAGATTTTGTCTCAAGAGATTTGTTCCTTACACAATCGTCTGATCCCTTTTTAATTGTTAGCGACTACCCGCGCGAAACAATTTGGCACGCCCAGTGGGACATTGGTGTTTGGTGTTGAAGATACAAAAGGTGAAACAATATGCCTCACAAATCTGATAAGGAAGCAGCAAGTCAGGGAGGAATCCAGTCTGTGATCGAGCGATATGAAGAGCAGCATAGCTCTCCACGAACAGAGGGACAAAGTCAGAGCAGTCACAGTTGTTACGAACCAATGATAGAGTTGAGTTCTCGAACCATGCATGCATTACTTGGAGAACTCACACAGGATGTCGTTGAACAGGTAAATCTACAAAATATTCATAATATGGAAAGATTTATCTAGAATGGGAATGCACATTATGACAACATGACCAAACAACTGAATACTTTGAATGAAATAATGAATAAGTTAGTAGGCCAAATTTGTCAGCCAGTTGTGCCTCTTGCATATTACTTTCAAGCTAGGACAATTGTGGGACATAATTTCCCAGTTCTAAGTCCAAATCAAGGGATAGAACCACCTTTTGGTCCCTCTACTTCAAACCAGGGGATGGTGTAATGCCAAATCAGAATAGTGGTAATGGTACAGCTAACTTGGGGGTAAACTAAATGTAAGAAACAATGTCCTAAATAATGGACAGAATGCCCCACGTGTTAATGATGGAATAAATATTCAGGCTAATGGTAACAATGGCCCAAATCAAGGCAACTTTGTTGCCAACCAAGGACCAAATATCAGGTCTCAAGCAAATCAACTGATCAACCAACCTATAGAAATTCCATATGACCCCAACATCATGTTGAGGAATCAAATTATGAAAATAGTACAGGATCAAATGGCTTTTGGGGTACGTCCTGTCATTAGGCCGACTTACA